AACAAAATTAAACAGAAAATAAACTTGTTATGTAAAAAACCCCGATATTTCAGTCCTCAGGTAGTTGGAGCCCTCATGCGAAGATGCAAGGAGTATGTGTACATTTCCAGTGTCCCAAGCAATGTGAAAGCAATTGTAATAATCCAGCATATAGGCCTGGTTTAATGCTCTCATAATGGGTAATGCAGGTGATTAAATACTATGATTTTAATCTTGGCATTTTAGTAACCCAATACGATAGATGAAAAGGCAGTAACAAATTAGATTATATAATGATATTTCATTCTAACCAAGAAGTCCAGTTATTCTCCGCAATATGTGGTTTTGTTTTTTAAGTTTATCATGGTATAGTGTTAAAAAATGCTCTAATAAGAATCCTCTACTCTCTTCATTGTAATCTGTTTTCATGACCGTGTAAAAAAGAAAATAATCTGAAGTCAAATTATCTCCACAAATACAACTTTATTATTGCTTCATTGGCTTTTGGGAGGACACCAAGATGATCCCCACCTTCTGTCTTGTCTGGAACTGTACTTCATTAATCTGTTGGGCAATACGGAGACAACACGACAGCCCTCACTGGTCTTCCTGGCCTGGGAAGAACAGATGGGTGGAAATAGGAGCGGGGCCGACAACCCTGAGTGGGCGTGCCGGGCCCGGCATGCCTGAGCCACCGTGCAGAGGTGATAAGACGTCAGGTGCTCTCCTCCACTGCGTCCTGACAACCCTCGCAGTTTGGGCATCTGCTTCCCGGACGGTAGTGTGTATGATTTAATTTGGAGAGTCACAGGCATATTTCTATACTCTGGCTACAACATAAATCGCACGGCATCTCTGTTCTTCGTGCAGTTCCAAGTGTCCAGTGGTCTTCCCAGAATGTCTGTGTTGGTTTTTTCTCTCCGTTGTCTGTGCCACGTTCAGTGACCGGGCCATGTACGACCCCAGAACCGGGAGAGAGCAGAAAGCTACAAAGGCAGAGAAAGGCACAGAAGGCCAACTGTAATCTTCAATTCCATCTCCGTGTATCTACTAAAAATACAAACCAAGAAAGAGATGGGCTTCTAATTTCTTTTCCTGGCAGTACTGTAATCCTCAGTGAAGATCTGTAGCGAGCTTGGTAAAGTTTATGACGGTTTGTGAAATAACCTATGTCGTTTATATGGAAAATTCTGTGGGTGCTTTTTCCATCCCTCCCCCCTCCCCTTCCTTCAACAGAATCCATCCCTCTTGTCATAATCTTCAGCTTGGCTTCCATACAGCTGTGACCCCTGTCACCTGTTACATTTAAAGAACCTGACCTGCTCTCTCCAATTTGTTTTACTGTTTAAAACAAAATAACCGATAAATGAGCTAGCCGCCAAGAATTGGGAACAGCAAGGAAATTGGAAATAAGTTTCCAGAAGTCTTGCCATGGGGACGTTTCTTTGTTGAGTTTAGAGTCATGCCCACAAACGAGTTTTGTTGGGTGGTTCTGGCAACCCCCGAGAACATCAACCACCACCGTTTACTGAGTACCCAGTGCACCTCAGCGGGGGCAGCCCCGGGAGGGAGCTATTGTTCCATTTTATGTATAACGCAACTTATCTTGAGTGACAGACTACATTCACATCCAGTTTCTTGCAAAGCTCCTGCATTTGATTACTGAGTTCATGTTTTAACCACCTCGTGTGGTTTCATGATTTTACCTGGAAATCCAAGGAGGTGTTTCCAGGGCTCTGTCAGGTTGGGGAGCAAAGCAAACTGGAATGCTTTCACCGTACAATTTGCTTTGAAAAGAGGGTTCCAATATTTTCAGTGTTTGAGAATCACATAGCATACCGTATTTGTCATCCCTAATATGCATGTGTGTATATTTATGTATATGTGTGGGCGTGTTTTTATATATATGTGTGTACATATATGTGCATACACACATGTACATATGTCTGTATCATATATGTGTATGTATTAGGAGTAGAACATGTTAGTATAATATGTATGTATGTGTGCATGCATCGAGCACTTATTTGATGCCAGGCTCAGTACATGAGGCTTTACTTAGATTAACTTGCCAAGCCCCCCAGGAGATAGGAATCCTCCCTGTTGTACTGGTACACACTAGGATAGGGTGGGCATTGCTTCTGAGTTCACAGAGCTAGCTGCTGTCCACATCAGTTCCCCTCCAGTGCCCGGACCCTTCCATGGTACCGCTGCTCCGGGGGTCCTGACTCACCTATCTCTGGAATTCCTGATGGGCGTTACCCTCACTGGGTAACCCTTATTCAGCATTTTCCTATTTGTATCCTGGGGATGGCTGGCCTTAGAGTACTAGATGGTTTGTTACTTTAGGGCAATTAATTAACTTAGAGCTTTCTTATTTGCATTCCCGTCTGAAGGCATGTCCTTCCCCGTTGTTTGGAAATAGGTGAAATAGGTTCCTGACTTCACTTCCGAGAGGAACCAGCCCTCTTCTCTGCTGTCGCTTCTTCTTGGAGTGTAAAGGAGGGTGGGGCCCTGGCGTCCTGTGGGGACACGGTGACCAGGCCGATTGCTCACTCATGGCTGCTCCTGGAACGGTTATCTTCAGTCCTTTTGTGGAAAAGGGCCGCGCAGAATTGAGGCCGGTGCATGGGTCAGACGACCTGGGGCCTGTGAGAGAAGGAAAGCCTCGCCTGTCTCCCGGCTTCCTTGTTTCTTTGGGATTGCTGAAAGCTGACCCCGCCTCTGTGATTTTCATGTTGTTCTGGATGCTGACTTTTTCTTTTTCCTGTGCATGATTCTTCAAAATGGAATCTAGGCCTCTAGGAATATTCTTACCTACCCTTGTCAACAATTCTGGGATTTCAGAAAAATTACAGGTTACGATTTTTGTCTAAAAGGAAAAAAAAAAACCCCAGTAAGATGTGCCACTGCCCTCACTGATGTTGAGTGCATTCTGTTGTGGTTCACAAGACGAGCTTATCTGGGAGCTAGCATCTCATAGAGTTCTGGAAATGTCTACTTTTCCACCTTTCTGCTCTGCTGGTCTCTCATCATAAATCTGCAAATAAATTTGTATTTTGTAGTAATTACTTTTGAATCGGACTGGAAAGATTGATTTTCCTTTCCAGTCGAAAGAAAATTAAGGAACTGGAGCATCCCCATGCTCTAAAGTAGCAACATATTTAAGTGGAACTTAGGATTGAACCAACAACACAGAGCTAACTTGTTCTGCCGTAAAGAGCTAAAATAGGAAGGCTAGTAGGTTGTGCTGATTTCTATGTAAGCATAAGTCATTTTACTAACTTCTGAGTGGGTATGGAAAGCCTCAAGTTGTTTTGAAAAGAAATAGCTCTTTTCAGGTGGCGAGTGCTTACTCTGCCCACATGTAAATTTAAAAAACTCTGGATTTTTATTTTCCTACACCAACAGAGGCATCCGAATAACAAATAAAAAGCCTTATTTTTTTTTTTAGTTCAAAGTGAAAAAGAGTAAGAAACAGCACGTGAGCAACACCCCCCCCCCCCATATTTCAACCTCTTATTTTCCACTGAGAGAAAATGTGTTACTGATCCGTGCCTTCATATATTTCAGTGTCTACACTGTGCACTTGGTGGGGCTGGCTGCTCCCGAGATTGTGTTCTGACAGGGTGATGGGGGCCAGCACCCAGCCTGGGCACACCTTTGCTTCAAGAGGCATGATGAGAAAATGCATCTCCCCTCCCTTCTCCCCTCCCTTTCATTTTGTGCTGAAAACCAGTGGCGTAAGAGGAATTTGCTGTGCTTGGTCGATCTGCCTCTATCACGGCCTCTCGATCCTGTGCCCGTCCCTTCTGGACGAGGAAGGGAGGCAGTTCACTGGATTATCCACACAATACATTTTCTATTAGAGAAGAAACAAGGCAGTGCCGGGTGGGGCTGGGGGTCGATGAGATCCACAAACTGGCCTTTCTGGAAACAGTGGTCCCCAGGGAAGGAATCCCTAGGAGCCATTCAGGCTGGGGCGGCAGCAAGGTGTGTTTTAGAATTTATCTTCATCAGCTCATTCGTTAGAACCAAGGCTCGATCAAACCCTCATTCTTTTCCAGCTTTGTAGCCCCAGGAGTACTTAATTCCTGGACGTGGCTAATCAGGAGGCACTTGAAAGATGAGTGGCAAGGGAAGGGCGCTGTCAGGGCTGGCTCATGGAAGGGAGGAGATGTCTTCCCAACGGTGAAGCCCAGATCTGGGAAACTGGTTTTACCCCCAACTGCAAGACCCTTGCAGTAAAGATTCAAGCACAGATATATGGTGTCTGATTGCACATTAATTCTTACAGACTTTTGCAGTTTGCATCCTTCCTTTATGGGCGACTCGCAGCAGGCGTTGGTGGTATAGTGGTGAGCATAGCTGCCTTCCTTTATGGGCGACTCCACTGTGTGCATGACCACATGAATTTGCAATTCATTCATTTCTTTCTTTCTTTCTTGCTTGCTTGCTTGCTCTTTCTTTCTTTCTCTCTCTCTCTTTCTTGCTTTCTTTCTTTTGTCCTTCCTTCCTTCTTCCTTTCCTTTCCCTTCCTTTCCTTCCCTTCCCTTCCCTTTCCCTTTCCCTTCACTTCTTTGCCTTTGCCTTCTCCCCTCCCCTCCCCTCCCCTCCCCTCCCCTCCTCTTCTTCTGCAACACCTTGATGGTAAGAGGTAAGCTTTCAGTGGTGAAACTAATGTTCAGGTCAAATGGAACATATAATCACAGAACTACTTAAACTCAGATGCCTGTGGTTTAGAATTTCTTGTCATCAGGAAAGCCAAAGGCCAGCCTTTATTTTTCTGTATTCAGAGTGCCATGAAATTTCTCAGAGGTTCATTTCCTTGGCCCAAATAATTGTGTAGTACCATTCTACCTGCATTTGCCACCATGATTTTAAGGTCATTGTACTGGAAACATATATGCCTGATGTCTTTTCCCCAAGACACCTTGAGTTCACTTAAAATCCTTATTACTTTCCTGTGGAGATATTTGTCTCACCCATACTTCTTGTGTCTGCTTTTCTTTTTTACCCAGGCCTTCTGCCTTATCTAGTAGTCCAACGTATTCAGACCTGCCCTTCATCAGGATCTCCCCACACCGGAACCCCGCTGCAGCCTCCGAACCCCCCTTCAGCCCTCCACACCCCTACATCAACCCCTACATGGACTACATCCGGTCTCTTCACAGCCCGTCCCTCTCCATGATCTCGGCAGCTCGGGGGCTCAGCCCCACAGACGGTGAGTCAGTCCCCAGCCGACCTGCTCTGCTTCCCACCTCATGCCCCACCTGGAACGTGGTGTGGAGCAGCTGTGATGTTGACTGAACGTTTCCCGTGTGCCAGACGCTGTGCTAAGTGCTTTAAGAGCACGCTTCACGTCAGTGTTAGGACATCTCCGTGAGGGTGGGGTTATTGTCTTGTTACCGGGTGAGGAGAGCAATGAGCAGAGGGGCTAAGTAACTTGCAAAGTGGCGCACTGGCTACTGGAACTCAAAGCCTGAACTCAATGACTCCAGACACCTGGCTCCTATCCACTGTTGTGTTCTTCGTCGGCCCGGTCGCTGTTCACACAGCATGCAGGCATACCCAGCTATTTGCTCACCTTCCAGTGAACGCTTTTCCGTTCTGCATGTCTGAGAGGCGTGTTTATACAGATGTGTCTATTAGATCAGCGCTTCTTAGATCCCACTGTGTACGTGGACCACCCGGGAATGATGATAAACCGTGATTCTGTGTGGGATGGGTCTGGGGGGGATGCTGAGATTCTGTACGCTGGAAAGCTCCCAGGTGGTGTCAGGGCTTTGGTCCATGGACCACGCTCTGAGTAGCAAGTCTTAGAGAACGTGATGATCTAGATCCATTGCACATACCCTCCAACCTTGATCATGCCCCGTGAAAACTGGAAGAGGGATATGATGGGAAAAGAAACCAACTTTGACTTTAATTTTATTATACTCGATGCTCATTTTAAGCTCTCAAGGGTCAAATTCCTGTTGGTTCTATTATCTTCCCAATTAATTACTTTCCACAAGACTAATTAGAGCTGTGTATCCCATAACTGTCAAATTATAAAACACTCCTTTGATTCAGGAAGAGCATTTTCCATCTCTTGCACACATACAAACTTCACTTGCCCACAGTTGCTGGAATCTGAGTTAAGGTCCAGAACTGCATAAGCCATATTAATTAGAAATTGCAGATTAGGGGTTCTGTACAGCAGCTCACTAGTTGTCGGGGCGTGTGTCAGAAACCCCCGTGCAGTCCTGCATCACTGAGCAGTGTGACCCTGCACCACCCACCTTCTCCCTGAGGACCCTTCCCGGGGCTGGCTGTGCGTGGTGGCGAGAGGTGGGAAGCCATGTGGGATTTCTCAGTACATCCCTACTCAGTTCTACTTCCAGGAGCATCTGTGCTGCCTCGGTAGCTATCCACACATCTCTTTCTGATTCAGCTCAGCAGATGCAGTGAGGAGGTACCTAAGGAATACATTGTGCCATTCGGATGAGAGTCACATCACAAAAATGAGACTGTAAGAGAGTCAGACCCAAGTTAGTTCTCCTGTTTTGGATTTGGTGTTACAATGGGGACAAATGGAGCTATCTCCTTGGAGTATTTAGGAGTTCGCAGAAATGACTGACTACACAGAAGAGAGGGAGAGGGGTAAGGGAGGCCAGCTCACAACACACTTGGAGTTATGCCTGGCTTGCTGAAATTTCACTGGGCCAGGGGAAAGTGGAACCTTGAGTTAAAGCATCGTGTCATCTGTTTTCCATAGTATTTGATCATGAGTATGAATAAAACGTTCTTTGGTTGGTTTGTTCTGCCTTCCTCTTCTTGCCTTTCAAGGGTCTAATTAATAATCAAATGCAGTCAAGTCATAGATGACTCTCACATGTAGACTAAGAGGTTTGTGTGTATCTTTGTCCAGATATTTTTATCGTGTATAAAAAGTGTGGACACAGATCTAAACATACACAGACCTATTGCTAGAATACCCGTTGTTTCTACATAATAATTGTAAAACTAACCTCTACTGATGGAATGCTATGTGCTGAATACTGTTGGCTTCATTGCTACCGACAGCCCTTTGGAGTGGTAAGATGAGCTGGGATTTGCATCCAGATCTTGGAGAATCTGGAGACCACCCTCAAAACTGCTACAGTATCTTGATGCTTTTGCACATAAATTGGCAGTGGAAACAGATTATTATCCCACTTTTACAGAGCTGACTCTTGCCAGTAAATTGCTCCAGATTGATAGGTATTTTTCCTTTTTGATTTTGTAATAAAAAGGGGGAAAAAGAAGAGCTTTAAAATTACGGAACACAAAATTGCAGCTTATCACCCAGTGGTGCGTTGTTAAAGCTACACTGTGTTTTCCCCTCGTAAGCCCTGGGCCCTCCAGGTAGTGAGAGCTGACTCAGGCACTCCGGCCAGGAGCTGAGGGAAGTGTGTCTGGAAAGATACCACAGTTGTCTCCATTGTCTACCACTGTAGGAAATGTGATTTTATCTAAGAAGTGATTTAATTTGGGGGGGGCACACAGGGAAAGGAGAACATATATACATTTTAATCATTTAGAATTCTTGGCCCTTTCTTTAGCCTCAAACATTTTATAATACATTTTATTTTTCCTATTCTTTTTCTTCAGTTTTATTTTCAAGTGACAGGTATCCAGTAGGCTTCAGTGGGAAGCACAGTTTGAGTTACAGAAGTTTTACTAGCATGAGCCGTGAAAGGAATTGCTGACATTGGGCTCCGTGGCCAACGGACTTTGGGATGTCTCAAGAAACATGTCTTATTGACCTTTTCCAACTAGTCACCATGCTTTGCTTGTCTGCTCTTCTAGCGCCCCACGCCGGGGTCAGCCCCGCGGAATACTATCATCAGATGGCTCTGTTAGCTGGCCAGCGCAGCCCCTACGCGGACATCATTCCCTCGGCCGCCACCGCCAGTGCTGGGGCCATCCACATGGAGTATCTTCACGCCATGGACAGTAAGTGAGGGGGCTCTCTTCTGTAATCCTGGCAGTGGCAGATGCTAACTCGGGAATTGTAGAGAAAGATGCAATGATTAGGTGATTGTCTAACCTTTGAAACCAGAGAAGGAGGAAGCATATTTGGTGCTCGGCTTTCCTTGGTTTTCTAAGAGGCTTCTACACATCTGGCCGTCCTGGAACTCTTTGTGGAGAGCTCCGGGATACCAACAAAGGGGAAGATGCAGGCGATTGGAACTTGGCAGATAGATAAAGAACTCTCCTGCCCTGAGTGTCCTGAGAACAAAATAAGGGAATGGGCTTGATGCCATGGACATACTTCACCCAGTCACTCTTTGGTTTTCTAGATTTTATGCTTTAAAAGTTAATTTTTATTTTTTTCCAAAGATTTATCTATTTATTTTAGAGAGAAAGAGAGCGAGCATGTGCGTGCGTGTGAGTGGGGGAGGGGAGAGAGAATCTCAAGCAGACCCCCGCTGAGCGCAGAGCCCAACACAGGGCTTGATCCCATGACCCTGAGATCATGACCTGAGCCCAAACCAAGAGTTGGAAGCTTAACCGACTGAGCCACCTACGAGCCCCTAAAAATTAATTTCTACAAAAAACCTAGACTTGGTTTTTGCATTTTTTTCCATGGATTTGTTTTGCCTTATATGTTTTCTTTACATGGAAAATTATATTTCACTAAGACCTTTTATCTAGGAAAAATAAAAAGCCTTTCCAAATCAGAAAGAGCGATTTTTAGCACATAACAGTAGAAGATAATGGCATCCTTTGATGCTTTTTATATCACTTATTTTGGGATCCCTCAAGACTTATGGCGATTCCTTTGGGTCACTTATCTAGACATATAGACAAATGAGCCTGTGAATATCACGGTTCAGAACATCCAAGAATTCTTATTTATTCAGATTCTTTCAGTTCCATTTGCCAGGTGCCAGGAAGTGAATGCGAAGCGCTGTCTGAGGTGTCCATCAATGAAAGCCGCTACTCCTTGACTATGACAACTAAACGGCTTTGAGTAGGGCATATGTTGGGGGTTGGTTGGTTGTTTGTTTTTCCTGGTGGCCGCGCTTTTTCATCTACAGTCTGTTTGGATTCTTCTGTGACAAAGGTGTGCACTGGTCAGCTCTCTGATGCAGCCTTCAGGTGTGGAGTGGAGAGAGGGTGATTGTTTTCCACAGCTCCGTCTTCTTACGGCCATGAACGAACTCAGCTGAGTAACCCAGGATCCCTGCTTGCGATGGCTTCCCTTGGGGAGTTCATTACCACACACAAAGTAAAGGAAATGTGTTCTATCTTCTGCAGGGCTTTTGTTGTTTGGCTTTGTAGAGTCAAGAGCTTACATTTCAGATTCATCATAACCACATTTCAATTAGGGATTGTTGGGAAAAAAAGTTCAGTGTTATTATGCAAATTAGTTATTTAAAAATCTGCAAATAAAGAATTAAAATAGGGGAGCATCCTTGGAAGGTCAGCCCGCATTACCTTCTATATTTGATGAGAATGTGTTCAGTCAGGCAATGATGGTTTTTATCTAAATAAAGAATGAAGCTACCCTTTTACTTTGTAAAAACTAATTAAAGGAATTTTAATTTGCCTGACTATATGGTAAATTGATTGTCATTAAGTAGGAATTTAGATGTCCTATCATTCATCACATAAAAAGAAACCTCCTTTTTCTTTGTCAGATTTTTTTATTAGAACAGAGAAACAAAACAATTAACGGAAAGCCAGATCGGAGATATCTGTGTTGGAACAATAAGAATACTCGGGCTTATGTTTTAGAAGGAAACCGTGTATGATCAACGAAGAACTGGGTGATTTCTCTTTCAGCTGTCTCGAAAATGTTCACCTTGTGTTTTAGCTGCTCCCCTCAAGAGGGGAATCCCAAATCACCATTCCAAAATGCTGACTTTCTCTGTTCACTTGATTATTAGGGGGTTAGGAAGAGTATATTAAAGGTTGGAAAGTGCTTAAAATACTATCTTCCCTCTAAAAAAAAATTGAAATAGCATTTAGTTAAACATAACATAAGGAGAGTACTCAGAATTTACATCATAGGAGACTTTTCCGACAGAAAAGCAAAAACAATTATAAATCACCACCTTGGATGTGCACCTGCAGTGGCCAAGCCCAGCTGGAATCTAGCTGGTCTCTCTCCCCCATTGTTAAAGGATCTTCAGGACTCTTCAGTTGACAGAAACCATAAGAAACAGATTTCATTTTTTTTTAAAGATTTTCTTTATTTATTTGACAGGGAGAGAAATAGCAAGAGCAGGAGCACAAGCAGGGGGAGTGGGAGAGGAAGAAGCAGGCTTCTTGCCGAGCAGGGAGCCCGATGTAGGGCTCCATCCCAGGACCCTGGGATCATGACCTGAGCCGAAGGCAGACGCTTACCGACTGAACCACCCAGGCGCCCCAAGAAACTGGTTTTAGATGAGCACTTGCCTTTTAAATGTGCCAACAATGGGCATATCTGGGTTTCATCCACGTCCAGGACAGAGTGCTTAATGTCGCATGTTAGAATAAGCAAGTCTGGGGGCGCCTGGGTGGCTCAGTTGGTTAAGCGGCTGCCTTTGGCTCAGGTCATGATCCTGGAGTCCCGGGATCGAGTCCCACATCGGGCTCCCTGCTCAGCGGGGAGTCTGCTTCTCCCTCTGACCCTCCCCCCATCTCGTGCTCTCTCTCTCTCATTCTCTCTCTCAAATAAATAAATAAAATCTTTAAAAAAAATGAATAAGCTCGTCTGCTTTATGGATCTAATTCTGTCTTTCGGGATTAAGGACCTTAGAAGACAGGAGAGCAAGCAATCCCTATGAGGGACATTCTAGAATTGCGGGCTCCTGAAAACCACATTATTTGTATGGTGGAAACTGACTTATGTAAGAGCCCATTCTGGAGGGAAAAACAGAGAAGAGCTGGCCATGGGCAACAGGAAGCCTTCCTCAGAAGTGATGAAGGGAAGCCTCTGGGCTCTGTCTTTGGATGTTGTAAAGGACCCCTAAGACCTTTGTTGCTTCATAACATCAGATGGCCACCTTATCTAGTTAGTGATTAAAAAAATTAGAGGTGTTCCAGGGATCATCTCTGTCTAGAATGTCCTGTTACTCTTAACTCTGCCAGTGATCACTGAGACCCATCGAGAAGGGTTACTGCTGAGGATTATATGGAAGTAGACAGTAAGTCTGCAGTCCTTGAAGTCGTTTGGAAGTGGAATGTTGTTCTTCACTGAAAAACTAGGGGCGCCTGAACGGCTCAGTCAGTTAAGCATCTGCCTTCGGCTCAGGTCATGATCCCGGGGTCCTGGGATCGAGTCCCGCATCGGGCTCCCTGCTCAGTGGGGGAGCCTGCTTCTCCCTCTCCCTCTGCTCCTCCCCCTGCTTGTGCTCTCTCTCTCTCAAATAAATAAGTACAATCTTTAAAAAAAAAAAAAGAAAAGAAAAATGATGAAATTAGCCTCTCGTCGTGAGTAAATGTGGAACATTTCTGTGTAAGGCAGATGCCGTGATAAAAGTAAGATGCTGATTTAAACACTAAAAGATGTGTATGTAGCTGGGGTGGCTATGTTCGTACTAGCATGGCCTAAATCAGGCTGATAATGAAATTATTCTAAATGAAAAAGCTCAATTTTGAATGTGTCTGAAAGAAAAATTTGACTAGGCACCATATTCATCTTTCAAATTGGTTTTCCAGTTTTATACATGGATGGTACTAACTTAACTTCCTAAGCTCCAGTTTGTGATTTATTTTTTAACTATAAAGTATATCTATTTATTCTATGATATTACCTATAGACTCATTCATCGATTTCATTTCATTAAATGATCTTGAAGCATGTTGGATTGTTATCTTGTGTCAAGGTCCATGATGAAGAGACTATTCCCATGGAAGTGTCCAGAGACCAAGTGCCTACGCTTTTTTCTATAAAGAAGGCTTACCTTCTACTTCAGCGCTCTGCGTGCCACAAAACTGTAGTGTCCCCATATGCAAGTATACCCGTACTGTAAAATAGGAAACCTCCATTGTGACTCAAAAGGAATCATGTTTGATTTGCCTCTTACGGAGTGGGATTATGTCCTCATTCTTTCATTCAACTATAGTTTGATGACTCCATAATGTACATGTGACCTTAGGAGAGGCAGGAGTGTGGGCCTCTGGGCCACATGCATAGCTAGTCCCTGAAATTCACATCTCTGGTATCTACCAAATTGAAGGTAAATTGGCATTTCATTTTTAACTCTTTAGGTAAAAACATTGTACCAAGCTGGCATGCATTTGAACTGTGAGTTACTAACCTCCAGGTTAGAACTTCATTGGAGGAAACTTAATAAAGACTGAGATTTCTAATAACAAATGCTTTATTCCCTCTTAGTTCTGACTGGAGAAGCGAGGTCCAGAGCATTAAAATAGATTCATCAAATCTCATTATAATGCTTACATGGTCCTCCCCCGCCCCCCACCTTGGAGCAACTCCAAACAAACCACATCCTGAGATTTGAAATGTTTATTGGGACTTACGCTTTTAGATGGTAGGCAGCTGAGACAGGGTCCCTCAGTCTCGGCACTACTGGGGGGAGAGAATTCTTCACCGCTGGGGGCTGTCCTGGGTGTTGCTGGGTTTTCGGCAGCGCGCCTGTCCTCTCTTCACTTTATGGGAGTAGCACCCCGTGAATTGTGATAACCAAAGCGCCTCCAGATGTTGTCACATGTCCCCCGGAGGCATAATTGCCCCCGACTGAGAACCATTAATTTCAGAGAATGCATTTATCAGTTGTTTTAGTAAAGCTTTACGTATACATGGATCAGATAACTACAGAAATCATGGGGAAATGAGGGCATAACTAAGCTGAATTTCTGATCTTCGGATGCTTTAAATCATTTTCTCCTTTGGCTCATTGCCTTAAAATGGTGTGTGTTGGGATGGGGAGGGGTGTGTTGTGTAACTGTAGGGACCACTGTCTTTGTTGCTTGTGGTGAATTAATGATGGGAATATCTAAGCAGCCGTCAGATTCATAAATCACTGGAAATGAGAGGGATAACACATAAAAGTCTTTCCCTTTTGTTTAGCAATTTATCATTTTGCCTGCACATTAATAAACAGAGCTCCCCCGAGGTAAGCCCTGGAAGATAAATATTTCTCCCTAATTTTCTCAGTTGTAGCCAGTAGATCACAAGTGGGTGGAGAGGCACTTGTCACCACAAGTTGCTGGCTTCTTAGCTTTCCCTTCTTCCAGCCAGGCCCGTAGCAGTGAATCACGGGTACGGAGTTACAACCACAGGTAACCGGGTTCTGTTTTGTTTCTGCAACAGGCACCAGATTCCCCAGCCCCAGGCTGTCGGCCAGGCCGAGCCGAAAACGTACGCTGTCCATATCACCGCTGTCCGATCACAGCTTTGACCTTCAGACGATGATAAGGACGTCTCCCAACTCCTTGGTCACGATTCTCAATAATTCTCGCAGCAGCTCTTCGGCAAGCGGTTCCTACGGCCACTTGTCTGCGAGCGCAATCAGGTATGTATTTTCCTAAATCCACGAATGTGTCTCTCTTTAAGGAAGGGGCAGTGCCCTATTGGCTCGCGTTTGTGGGACTGACTCCCTCTGAGGATGACTACAGTTGCACGACCCCGGGCCTGACCTGGGAGGCCCGGCAGATAACACTACAGTGAATTCCAGAGCCAAGGCCTGGGCCAAAGATCATCATTTGGCAGACTTAATTAGTAGCCCGTATGCAGGTACATAGCTATTCCGTGACGGTGGAGTCCACTTTGTAGGAGGCAGTGAGGATGGCAAATCCTTCGTCGGAACCCCTCTTACTAATTACGGTTCTCTGGAGAGAAAACCCACTTCACACCTGGTCGTGCAGCACATGGAAGCAGGGACAGGAGCAGAAAGCAGAAGAGCAGGCCTGGTGTAATTCACACTTGTTAACGGTGTGGGGAGAGGGGTACATTTCAGGAAGGAAGAAAAGGTGTCAGCAGGATTTTGAAGGGAAGAGACATGTGATGACATCGGAAGGCATGTCTGTCAGAGGAAATGGAGCAAAGGAAGATTTCCTTGTTTTCTTATTAAGCATTTTTAGCTTAATTTGAAAGCCCTCTGTTTTGTCATCCTCCCTTGCCGTACAACGAGAACATTTTGACACTTCCTTTGGTGAAGTGCATTATGTCTGTTGCTTGCACATGAATGTACAAACACAGGCTTCTGTAAACATGCTTACTTGAAAATACTCCTCCCCGCTAATGATCAGACGTGGGCTGGTGTCAATAAGTAGGGAATAAAAGTAAGCCAAGTGATAAATTTTAGGTGTGCTTACACTGCTTTTATCAGCTAATCACGCACGTACTCTTTTGAACTGTGCTAGTTACCAAATGGTTGTTTTAGGCATCGAATTAGATCATGTCCTACTTCATTAGCTAGGCAACCGTGGTTATCGACCTTAGTTATCCCTTCCCCTAAGTTTTTCCTCCCATAATTTAAGAGTTCAGTTCCTAGCAATCTTTTTGAACTGGAGTTTTTCAAACCATGGGTGATTACTTGCTTTAAAAAAGACATACCAAAGGCTGTTTTCACCAGGCTTGCTTTGGATAAGTGAGGGTTTTGTTACTGGTGTGTTTTTACAAATGGACAGCAGCTTTCGTTCTTAGTTGATGGGTGTTCCATGATGGATATACACGTTAGGGAGACCCCAGCAGTCTGGGGGAAAAAAATGTTAGCAGTAGCAACACAGCACATTTACTAGAAATGATGAATAACACCGTTTTTTCCATAACGTTCTCAATTACGGTTTTAATTCTTTGCTTGTTCAATTATCAACAATCCTCTTTGGCACACAAGTTAGTGTTTAAATATTAGAAGCCTTATGTTGATGTGATGTGCTTTCAATATGGTCATTCAAGGGTGGAAACATGGAGCAAAGCAAAAAACTCTGCTGATGTGATAGTCGTCAGGACATAGAGGGGGTCCCGGGATGTCTTCAGGATTAGCCACAATCGTCACCAATGGAGGCTTTGGAGTTGGGCACATCTGTAGTCAGTTTCCAGGTTTGCCACCAGCTCTGCAAACTGTCCTTGCCCGTCGGCTCTCTGAAGCTCAGTCTTCACACTTGTAAGCAAGAGACCAGACACCCTGTGTAGGAGAGGACATATTTTATTAAAGCCGGCGTGGATGCGCAGTGCCAGAATGAAGACCCCTCCCATGGGGCAAAGTCTTGGGAGAGCTGATCCTGGATGGTCCGTCCAGGAGACAAGCCAGCACGGCCCGGCCGTATGGCCCCCATGATCATCCCAGGCTGGCTCTGAGGAAGTGTGCCTGTCTCCGAACCATGGCCTGGTTGTTCCTGCACTCCTGGCAAATATTCCCCGTGTCATGCAGACTGCCAATGACCATATCTCGGTTTGCTGAAATTATGCAACTATTATGTGGCTTGACTAGCAGTCATAGCATCAAAGTAGTAGAAACATGGCACACCAGGATATTCACAAAACTTACGTTCACACAGAATCCTGGTGAGCATTTATTTCTCTTGCTTCTCCTTAGTTTTTCCCCACTCTGGCTCTCTGCCCAGCTAGCTTGACTTTCTCCAGCATCTCAGAGCCTCAGATTAGAATATGGTGCAGGTGGTCACAGTGTTGTCTTTCTTTATTCTTACCCCCCACCTTCTCTGCCTTCTTGACCTGCTCACCTCTGCCCAGGTAACCTAGTACCAGATCCTGACTGGGATTGATCATTTTCCCCTGCCTGTCCAAGGAGCTCCCACAGACCCTGCCATTCTCATTAGAGCTGGAAGAAGAGGTTTGCATTCAAGACCAGTCGGGTCCCAGGAGAGCCCGCTGTGGTCAAGGGTCCGGCCACCATGCACTCTTGCTTTTCCTTTGGAGCCTTTCCATTCTGTCTTCTCTCTGGCAGCCTGACTTCTCACTCTTCAGTATCCACCTGGTGTGTGTTAGGAGCATAGCTAGCTTTTAATGCACGTAAGGTATTTCAGATAACCCAGGATGACATCAGCTTGCCGTACAACACGATAATTAGATTCATTGTCATCAGCACCATTTGCCTGTCCTGTGGCTGGAGCAGTGTTAGTGCTTTGCTTGCCCTGTTCTTAGTTTGATTTTGTGAACTAAAAACTGACTTGAGGAATAATCAGAAAAGTGGTAGGACCAGTGGGTGGCAGGGAAAGGGAGGAAGGGTGAGCAAAGATACACAGGGTAGCTAACTGTCTTGGGAGGGAAAGATACAGGAGCAAGCATGGACTGAGGGTACGTGCAGTCTCTGCTGTGGACCAGGCAGTGGAATTGGGGCGAGAGGCACGGTCCTTGTTTCTGTGGCACAGAGATTTGGAAGAGCATACTGTCACTCTTGTTTTACTTGTCCACGTAGTGGGTCTTTGCAGGAGGAAGTCAGAGAAGGTCACGTGCCAATATCCCGATCCCCTGCCTTGTACTGGACCCCAAACTGCATTTGACTTTCGCACCGTTTTCTGGTGCCTGACCTGCTTCTGGTATTGGGCTGCAGAGTAACGCTGTTGCTTGAGTTGTAAAGGTGGCAGTTTTTTTTTTTTTTTTTAAAGATTTTATTTATTTATTTGACAGAGAGAGACACGGCGAGAGAGGGAACACAAGCAGGGGGAGTGGGAGAGGGAGAAGCAGGCTTCCCGCCGAGCAGGGAGCCCGATGCGGGGCTCGATCCCAGGACCCCGGGATCATGACCTGAGCCGAAGGCAGACGCTTAACAACTGAGCCACCCAGGCGCCCCAAGGTGGCAGTTTCATGGCTGCACACTGCCCCCCCACAACACATGTGCATTCTCACCTTGACACCACTCAATGGATATTTCTTGCGTGAAGAAATGAAGGAACTCATGGCGGGGGAGGGGCAGAGAGAGGGAGAGAGAGACCCTCCGGCAGGCTCCACACTCAGCGCAGAGCCCAACACAGGGCTCGATCTCACGACACTGAGATCATGACCTGAGCTGAAATCAAGAGTCAGATGCTTAACCGACTGAGCCACCCAGGCACCCCTGAAGGAGCTCTTTAATGTGTAATTAGAATTCTCATCAGCCCCTTTATTAAAGGAACTTTCTACATGGCGGATGAATAATTCTGATTTGCAGAATGTTACAGTCTTTATGAGTAGTATATTAAATGTCCATATGTTGAGAGCTATAGAGAGATAGAGGGATGGATACAAAATAAAAGGATAAAAAAGCAAATGCCTACCTTTGTGTATGATTCTTGTGTTTATATCTTTAGATAATAATTCAGACTGCTATAAAAATACTCTAGAAAGCAGATATTTATTCACAAAAGCCCCTTGGCATACTCGATTATGTCTCACTTTTCAACCCTGTTGTCCAAGTGTACATCACAAATCTTACTCTTTTATATATCATAACTAAAATGACCGTTCCGAAAAAACCCCACGCACTTGGAAAGGTCGTTGTGAAATATTTGGCCGTCTCAAGAAGTTTTAACTTGTCCATCTCCCTGAAGACTCCCATCTAAGCCTAGATGATTCACATTTATCAAATACAACCTGTGACCTCCACTCTCTGTGGTTAAGGTGGATGTTATAAATACCCAGTTAATGGCAGTATAGTAGTAGAAATACCTTTGCCTCTGCTAATACCTTCCCCCAGAAATTGCACCACTGTCAGAAGAGGGGGCTTTCAGATGACCCTCCTCTTCCTGTAGTCTCCTGCCAAAGGTAAACAGAATGAAGAAATGAGTAACCCACCCATTTCCAACCCACCAGCTACAGCGTTTTCGCTTTGAGTTTATGGCTAAACCGAAGATGGGCTTGTGTCCTCAGTGGTCTTGGGTCTGGCGTGGCCAGGACAGACACCTCGATGAAAGTGGGAGTCGGGCACCACCAGTGGGACAGGCTGTGTGGCTGGCACTGTGGGCTGTGGCTGGGGTCGGGACAGTGGGCTGTGTTCCGTGTCCTGCAGTGGCCACTGTCTCAGGTCCCAGGCCCCTGGAGGAAGCAGGTGTCCGTTGCCACTTCCCGAGGCAAGAGAGGGACCAGCTTGGCCTCCACAGCAGCTTGGCTCTGGGCTTGTTGATGCCTGTAACAGGCTGGGTGGGACACAGCAAAGAATAGAGTGAAGGTGAATACAGTGCCAGATGACCAGTGCCCTGAAACTCTGATTACTTTTTCTGAAAGTAGTGACAAACTTCTCCCCCAGCAGCCGCAAAAGTGATTAATACTGAGAAAGATAGTTTTTATTGCCTCCCATATGTGGTCAATGGTTTTAGAGAGCACCTCATTTCATCAGTTACTTGTTCATTCCCCCCCCCCCCCGACAATGTTTAGCTGCATATTCAGCTCTGTGCTAGTCACTGTGCTGGGCATGGGGGCTACCAGGATGGATGAGAGGCAGGACCCCTGCCCTCACTGAACTCCTGAAGGGGAAGAGCCTCCAATCAGGTACGACTGAATGAATGGACCAGATGAGGCCGTGGGATGGAGAAGCTTGGGTGCTGAGGGAGTGTCAGGAATCCAGGGGCCAGATGG